GGGCATCTCACCCCCAGCAAAAAGCACTTTTCCATGGCATGGGTAGGTAAATAACAAAAGTAGATAGTGATTCACCATACTCTGGAGCCATCACAAAAAAGGAAGGCTTGGACAATCGGGCTAGAAAGTCTATAAAAACAATGAAGGACACAAGGAAGAGCTCTCTCAACCAATCAATCAAAAGACACTTAACTTTGCACTTTAACAACAAGAAACAAGAAAGCTTTAGTTTGTACAACCTTTACCCTTTTTAGTCGTAGGTCCATCATAGAAAGCTATCTTTTGTCAAAGTTTTAGAAGCTCTGCTACCCTTCCCTGTTTGTAGTATCAAATATCTTTAGTAAACCTAGTTTATATTTCATTTTCCAGGACTTCAGTCTCTGTAAAATACAAAGAGAAGTAGCTACAAGAAGACGAACCTTGCTTGACAAGGTTGTAGTCTTGCCCAAGTCTCCTTTGTTTGTACTTACATAAAGTAGATCTATTGTTTGTGCATCTTTCATTGGATCCTATGTCATTTTCAACTGCCTTCATTCAAGTATCATCTATCATTAATCTTGTCAAGCTAATCACAAACAGGTGATTTTTTTGTGATTACCCAAACTATATTTCTGGTAACCAATTTCCTTAATGTAATCACCAACTATGTTAGCAATAAACTTTTTCGTCCTTGTACTCTCCTTCACAGTTTACTGTCACTTAGTACTACAGTCTAGTGGTATTCTCCTTCCCTTGTAAGTGAGAGTCTTAGGTTTGATTCCCACCAAATGTGAATTTGAACCACACTATTATTAAGCCATTGTGAGACTTAGCTGACCCTTCACCTTAGTGTAGATAATATCATTTGTTAAAAATAAAAATAAAAAACATAGCCCCAACTTCTTAAGCGACCATGACAATAATAAGAGGTCTTCTTTGTGAATCCTTCCATTCATCAGTCATCACTACACACCCTTATATTTCCATGGAAACTTAATCTTTCCTAACTCTCACTCACAAACGTTTCTCTCCTAGATATGGCTTTGATTAATTGCCAATTAATTAAGCGTATATTTGTTTGGGCCGTACTTTAATTAACGGTTCCTGCAGTGGTAACGAAGGAAACTGACTTTCGGCCTCTTTTTTGAAATGCTCGAAACGAGTTTTCATCTCTCCGGGCCGAAGAAGGAGCTTGATGCGTTTTTCGAACTCTTCAATGGTGGTTTCAAAGTCGCGATCAACTGCCTTTCTCTCTTGAAGTAATTCGGCGACAATGGTCGGGGTAGATCAGTTGTTGCCCCTTCCTGCTACCTTTTTTGGCTGCCACCGGGTGGTCGAATTAGCTTGTGATTCTTGTCGTCGAGCCATGCAATCTATTCTCTGGCGACGACATTTTTGAGACTTAGATAATGCCGTATACAGGCTAGTTGGAGAATCATAACTGTACCAATGTTGGTCACGTGGCTTAGGTGGCTTGAAGGTTTTTTGACCCACCGATAAACTCGAACTGCTGGAGTTACGCGAGTAATAATCCTCATTATAGAATGACGCGTCAAAGTCAAGACGTTGTCTGATTGGGGTTGGGTCTTTTGCTTGTACTTGTGGGCCGAGTCTCTCAAACACTTGCTGTCGTTGGCCGGCACCGAGTTTCTTTAGAGGTTTTGTTGCGGCTGTGGACGGCGGACATGAAGTTGAAGCCGGAGGTGTTCTCTCTTTAGGTTCAATTCGTGTTTTACAGCGGCCGCACAAAACCATTGATTCATCAGTTTCTTCGGAACTAGAACCTGACATGGGTTCAACAATGGCCGGCACTGAAGACTCCATGGGTGGTGCATTTGAAAATAAATTAATCTTGAGTCTCGGCTGACCACCCTGCTTACAGACATGCTGTACTGGGACGAATTCGGCCTTCCATTTTCCTTTGTTTTTAGGGAGATGAGCATCCACCATACCAACTGCTGTCGAGGGGAAGGGATTGACGTCAACTGCCATCTGCTGATCAGAAAATTTTAACTTACCCTTCTCAATCCAACTTTGAATTGCATCACGGAACACGACGCAATTATTCGTAGCATGCTTGTTTGAATTATGGTACTTGTAATATGTTTTGTCTTTCAATTCTTCGGCCTTAGGAATGTTGTGTCCCGGCCGAAGTTTTATGATCTTTGCTACCAACAACTGGTCGAAAATTGCATCGGCCTTGGTGATATCGAAAGTGTAAACTTTTAATGTTTTAATTATCTCTTCAGAAGCCGAGCGGGTTTTGGCATCTTTGGAACTGATTTGAGCTAATACCTTGCAAATGTATGATTTATCTATCATTATTTCAGTCGCGTCCACACTGGCGTATTGGGGATCCTTGCTTTCGGCCAATGCGTAGCTAATCGTGAGATTCTTGTATATCGTTCCTCAGGATGGCGATTTTGATATTTTTTCCTCTCAGAGCAAATAATCATACTGCTCAACGTGCTGAGTAAGTTCGTACATATCTCGGATATTTGCCCCCAGAAATTTCTTTTTTTATTCCACGTCTAGGCCGTTTAGAGCAATTTTGACGAATTCAACTTCATGGAGAGGTACTCGGCACCAATTCCTAGCCGACTTAAACCTTGTTAAGTATTCCATTGGCGATTCATTTGAAGCTTAAGCCATTCTAGCTAACGATGAAACGGACATTTCCATCCCTGGTCGATAGAATTGTTCATGGAATTTCTCGACTAATTCCTCCCAACTCTGGACGGAGTTCGGTGGGAGGTTGATGCACCAAGCAAAGGCTGAACCTGTTAGTGAAAAGTTGAATAGCCGTAGTTTATGGAAATCGCTATTAATGTCTCCATATTACGCAGTGAACTGAGCGACATGTTCTAACGAAGATAAGGATGATTCTCCGGCGAAAAGACTGAAGTCAGGGATCTTAAAGCCTTTAGGGTATTTGAACTTTTCCACATAAGCCGGGTACGGATGGATAAACTTTGGGAACTTCGGCCCTTTTTTTAAGGCCGAGTCCATCATTCTTTGGACCTTGGTCATATTGACGGATGCTGCTTTTATTCCCTGGTCAGGCCCATCAGATATATTGCTTGATCCGCCTCTTTTTTCCAAGTCAATTGGTTGGAGTCGAGCAGATCCTTTCTTGGCTTGTAATGGAACATTCTTAAAAGGAAGTTGTCGAGGATGGCCGACGTGGCCATCTTCAAAGGCTTTACTGACCAATAGTTCAAGCATCTTGGTTTGTGTATCACTATTGTTTCGTATTGTGTCAAGCAAATCATTCATTTTCTGGCCAATCGATTGCTCGACTTGCCGAGATTGTTCATTAAGTCATCTTTTAAGAAACGACCTAGTTCGCGGATTAGAACCTTCCCTACCATCTTCGTCGCAATCTTCCACTATTCCTTCGACGAAAATGCCTGCCGTTTGGTTAGGAATTTCTGGGTTGCGAGGTTGTCCGCCGAGACAACTTTCCTTCTCTTGGCGTGTCGCACTTGTAGCCTCGGGTGGCACAACAATGAGGGAATTTTGTGCCTGAGACAAATCTTGTCCAGGGCCTTGTACTAGTAAGTTGGTTGTTGATTTTCCCATGATTGTTTTCTTTTTTACGGACCGTGTCTCAATGGTCATGAACTCCGAAGGTCTAGCACAAGGTCCCACCGGGCGTGGCGCACAGGTCAAGTAATTAATAAGCTAACTACGTCATTCGGTTGAATGCGGGGCGTGCCAACTCGTCGGCCGAGGAGTAAAATTTGTTGATGTTGAATTGAGCGCGTTGCTGACTTCTTTATCTTGCGACTGTGGCGAAGAAGGAACAAATCTCGGCCTTTGGATTCTCGAGCCTGAAGACAAGGCTACTAGTTCTGCGAAGTTCACGAATCATCGACGCCGAATTCGGTCACAGTGATTATATTCGTGAGAGTATAAGCACGCTGAATCGACACTAGATTATATGGACACAAGTATTCAAAGGTGATGTCTGTCTTGATGGTAAATGTGGTTCGACTGTCAGAATGCCGAACTCTGAAACCCACTTGGGAGTATCCAATCATAAAATCACTCGGCGTTCATTATGCTGAATGTCATAACTCGTAACACCTTACTTCGCCGAGAAGACTAATAAGATGATGTCTGCCAATAAGAATTCGGAAACCCTTCTCAACCAAGACTTGGATAGGTAACTAGTCGGCCTCGACACAATGCTGTTTATCCAAATTAAAGGTGCTTCTCGGTCGGCTGACTCTACGGCAACAGTGTTGTTTATCCAAACTGAAGATGTTCGCCGGTTGCCTTCACAGTGCTGTTTATCCAAACTGAAGATGTATTGGCGAAAAAAGAAAATGAAAAATCTCAAGTTGTTTGAGAGGTTTGCGCAGGGCAATTATGTGTTTTTTTTTTGGAGCCCTGAATGATGCACTCTGCTATTTATTTATAGCAACAAAAACTCCCCAAGGTCAAGTTGAACCCGTATTATACTAGGACTTCTTGTTCTGTTCCAACTCTACCTTGACCAATCCTACTCCTATTAGGACTTTGAACTCACCCCTTTTTGGGACCATATTCATTGCTGGTCGAGAATCCAAATTGCATTAGGACCCCTTATCATATTAGGACTTCTTCAACCCCTCTTCTCATCCGAATTATTCCTTCTTGCGATAGGATTCGACCCTGAACGGCCCGGGACCACCAGGCAGCCCACATAATACACTCGGAAAAGCTTTGGGCCGAACCTACGCTTGGCCCAATAACATTTTGAGCCCAAACAATATTATATTTTTTTACCAGACAATTCCAGTCATGATATGCCGTTTATAAATGAATAAAACCCAACACCCCAAGCATATTTTTTGGTCAAAAGTAGTAGTTGCTGAAATAGTGAAGTGATGCCTAATTAACATGTGCTTACTAATGAGATTATTCTAATATATTATTAGTCTTTGGAAAATGATTGATGTTGATTGCCAATAAAGTCCAAATTATTCTGCTATCATCTTTTGGTCTACTCTTCCAACTTCGGCGGCTATAAAATGATCATCTTCTCTGATCACTAATACACACAAATACACTACTCTGTCTGATCGTATCTAGTCACAAACGAAGATGGCAGCTACCAACACAAATTACGATCGCAAAAGTGAACTAAAAGCTTTTGATGACACAAAAGAAGGTGTTAAAGGCCTTGTTGATGCCGGCATAACAGTAATTCCTAGAATATTTCATCACCCGCCGAACTTGGATGACAACCTCGATTCAGAAGCCAGCAGCCAGTTTAGCATTCCGGTCATAGACCTTCAAGGCCTTGAACTCGGTAGTCCAACTAAGCGCAAGGAGATTGTTGCGAAAGTCGCAGAGGCATCGGAGAATTGGGGATTTTTTCAGATTGCAAATCATGGAATACCTGTTGATGTTTTGGAGGAGATGAAGAATGGGGCACGTGGGTTTTTTGAGCAAGACACTCAGGTGAAGAAGGAGCTTTATACTCGTGATCAGTCCAGAACTGTGTTGTACAATACCAACTTTGATCTGTATAGTGCACCGGCCGCTACTTGGAGGGATAGTTTTGGGATTTACATGGCTCCTAATCCTCCTAAGCCGGAAGACTTGCCAGAAATATGCAGGTATGTTTGTTTGTGTGTGTGTGTGTGTGTGTGTATGACATGTAATTGGAAATTAGTTTGATTCAGCAATAATCCATCCTAGATGAGATTCGATCACGTATTGAATTTTGGTAGTTAATAAATACACTTTCAAGTAGGATTTCATTTGTTTCCTGAAAGTTTTATATGCCCCCGTTGAGTGGTTCTCGAAAAATCATTTCCAAAGTCAAAAAATCTTGCTTTTTGATTAACAATTGTCACCAGTGAGATTTGAACTTAATACCTACTCCAACAAAGTAAAGAGTGACTGTTGATATACCAAACGATCATGTGTAAGATCGGAGAGATACAATTAAAATCACGACACACAAGCCGCTCAGCTTTGTTAAATCTCTGTCATATAATTGTTACTCCAAGAGGAGGGATTTTATAATGCTTGATTTTCTGCGTTTCAACTTGTAGGGACGTACTGGTTGATTATTCGAAGCAAGTAATGAAGTTGGGGAAGTTGCTGTTGGAGTTGTTGTCCGAGGCTCTTGGCCTAAAGCCAAGTCACTTGAATGACATAGGTTGCAGTGAGGGGCTTGCGCTTCTAAGCCATTACTATCCTGCTTGTCCACAGCCAGAATTGACAATGGGCACCGCCAAGCACGGCGACGCTGTCTTCCTTACAATCCTTCTGCGAGATCATATTGGTGGTCTCCAAGTTCTTCCTCAGAACAAGTGGATTAATGTTCCTCCTGTGCCTGGGGCTCTTGTGGTTAACATTGGGGATCTTCTACAGGTGAGTACAAACCAAATCTGCACCGTTGACTTTCTAATAACAATTTATAAATCTCACAGCAATAATAATTACTTAAATTAGAGATGAAAAATGATACAGAGACGACATTTGTTAATGTGATAGTTTTGATTGTTAATGGTGAGTTAGGGAGTAAACAATTCTGATTATTAATCCCAATTGGATGGACAACCGTGTATATATTAATATTGTCACAATACAAGCCAACTAACTTCAAAATTATACCAAGTGTTATCGTCTCTTTTTTTTTTCTTTTCTTCTGTTGAGTAGCATTTGGCTCCTTGCTTTAACTATGTATGTATAATCATAATATGCACAGTAATATTGAGCAACTTTATTAAGAAAATATTTAGAAAATTCTGCCTTTTAAAAAGTATTTGTCTCCTTGCTTTAAAGTGAGCATGTATAATAATATTGAGCAACTTTATTAAGAAAATATTTAGAAAATTCTGCCTTTTAAAAAGTATTTGTCTCCTTGCTTTAAAGTGAGCATGTATAATAATATTGAGCAACTTTATTAAGAAAATATTTAAAGAATTCGGCCTTTAAAAAAAAAAAAAAATTCAATTCAAATATAATTAGATTATTTAGGCACTATTAATATCCTTTTCTTTCTGGTTTTTTTTTTTTTTTTTTTTTTTTTTTTTTTTTTTTGCGGGGGGTTTTGTAAATACATGTAGAATATGTAAAAAGTAACTTGTATAAAACGTAAAATTTATGTGTTTTATTGAAAAATATGTGAAAGTAACTTGTATAAAATGTAAAATTTATTTGTGTGCGTGTATAATAGTGTATTGCTAATTGAAGCTTTAAAACACATTTAATTTATCGAAACATTAAAATGTTTACGGAAAATGAAAGTACATTCCTCCAATAACAGTTGACGTGGGCCAGGTTTTCTTTATGGGGTGCACACCTTTTGTTAATTTCTGTTTATTGATCTTCTTCAATTCATCCGATCCGACGGTCGAAAACCAAAAAAGTGTAGGAGAAGTAAAAAGCGGAGTGTGGATATCACACCCCTTCTTTATTTGTTGTGTTCTCTAGCGACTATATTAGAATTTTCTCTCGTGTCATCAAGATTTTTGAAAGAAATTTGAGAAAATCTTATAGTAGTATTGTTTTAGAATATGCCTCAAATTGTTGTATTTAGGCTCCTTGTTTTGGTTTTAAAGTTGAATTGGGTTTCAGCTCATATCAAATGATAGATTCAAGAGCGTGCAACACAGAGTATTAGCAAGCCGTGTAGGTCCAAGAGTATCCATTGCGAGCTTTTTCTTCACCGGTATGTTGCCGTCGACAAAACTCTTTGGACCGATCAAAGAGCTATTATCAGAAGACAATCCTCCAAAGTATAGAGAGACCACTGTGAGGGATTACTTTGCTTGCGTCCAACTCAAAGGCCTTGATGGCACATCTGCCTTGCCTCAATTCAAGCTTTAAACTACTGCTATATATATTCCGTAAAGTGTTGAAATCTGCCGTTCTAAATTATAAAATAAAAATACATGTATGGTGTGTAACATTACTCTTTTGGCCATATATATATATTGGTTGTTTTGACTCCTTGTAATAATTCAGTTGGTAAGTTGGTAGAGAAATGTAATTTAGTAAGTTGTACATCATTGACAGCTGTAATGGTTATTGAACAATAGTTCATTATTCAGATTAAGTTTTCCACCAATAAACCAACTTGAAGTATTAAATTGAAGTTATTAGGATCAAACCTTGGATCTTGAACTGTCAAATATTATATGTCTTGAACTCTATAAATATGTCAATATATACTCATGTGATAAACAACTGTCATAACTTATTATATTAATATTGAAAACGAGCAAATTCAGTGACTTTCTACAAGTACGTTGCTTAATTTCTTCCAGCAGCTTCACTACTTGTAAGGTACTCCTTTGCAAAAGTATACACTACCTTTGATCTAAATCATCTGACATCCAGTAAACCAAGATATGGTAGCTACCAGCACTTCAAATGAAGTTCCAGACAATCATAACAGAAAAAGCGAAGTGAAAGCATTTGATGAAACGAAGGAAGGTGTTAAAGGCCTGGTTGATGCCGGGATAACCCAAGTTCCTCGGATTTTTCATCAACCACCAAAACCGGGTGATCAGTACTGCATCAGCAGTTCCACCTCTGATTCAGAAGCCAGCCAGTTCAGCATTCCAGTCATAGACCTTGAAGGCCTTGAACTTGGTAGTCTAACTATGCGCAAGGAAATTGTTGCAAAAGTTAAAAGAGGCATCGGAGACTTGGGGCTTCTTTCAAATTTTCAACCACGGAATACCTAATGACGTTCTAGAGGAGATCAAGGATGGCGTGCGTGGGTTTTTTGAGCTAGACACTCAAGTTAAGAAGGAGTTTTATACTCGTGATCCCTTAAACCTGTGGTCTACAATAGCAACTCTAATCTTTACTGTGCATCCGCGACTAATTGGAGGGATACTTTTATGTACTACGCGGCTCCTAATCCTACTAAGCCAGAAGACTTACCACAAGTGTTCAGGTATGTGACCTGCTATATAACTGATAATGTTTATGATATTAGTGTGAATAATCTGAACTAATCGATCCCTCTTCAATGAATTAGTGAGATGGTTTGATCTTGAATATCTAGGCAACATTCCTCCTCTGATTAATATATAAGAATTCTTTTACGGTTTTTATGCATGAGTTGTTATTAGAGAGAGAAATATGGAGAACAACTTTGAAGTAGGATTTAAATCGTTTCACCAAAAGTGTTATTAACCCCAGTAAAGAAAGGGCCATAGTCATAGTTGCATTTGCCACAGAGATCACGTTATGGTTGGAATGTATCAGTTTATTTAGGAAAATAAATTGAGATTTGATTTGATTTCGTATTAGGGTATTTTTGGTATTTTCGCATTAGGATTGCTGGTAATTTAGTTTGAGAAACAAGTCAGTCACACTGTAGTCTTGTCAAATTATATAGCCGTCTAGGTGATTTGTTGTCTTTTCTTTCGTTTCACCTAATAAAATTTTATATTCCGTTTATTCGTCATTTATAGAGTCATGCATATACAGGAACATATAAGTGATGGTGGCTGATCTTTGGCTATTTTATTTTGAATGGATTGGATCAGTGGCAAGAGGTTCTTTCATAAGAAAACTAATGAAAAAGATATGAAAAGTTTAAATGTTAACAAAAAAATCAGGTACTAATTTTATTTAATGTTTAGGACAAAGTCTAGCACTAAACAAATCCAATTAAAATGATCCAAACACTGATTTTTCAATTTTACCCCTGCCTTTACCGTTTATTATCTTTCTTCCTTCTCTCTTCGACTCTGTCTCCCCCCATTTCTTCGTGAGATCTCACTCTTACAATGCAATAAATTTTGGAAAATCAAGGATTTCACGAAACCTGGCGATTCGGGGATGAGTTCGGTGCATCTCTAATCAGATTACACAAAAGTTGAAGAAAGAAATGAAAAACACACATGGGTCACTATAGAATTCGTCGATGTCGTCCTAGTGGCTGTTGGGGAGACTTTCTCATCAACCAAATTACAGGGAGACTTACAAGTACGATCATCTCTGCAAGAGCAGAGGTGACTTACTCGCTCACTTTGAGAAGAGCTTCATACTGGGCAGGTTCTAATTCATCCTTGTGGTTGTCGGTGAAGGAGAGGAAAGGAGAGGTTGGGGAAAGTGAGAAAGGGAAGAGAGAGAAATGAGGGAGAAAGAGAGAATAATCTCTACGACGGAGCAACTCAGTTTGCAAATAACTTACGATGAACTGAAATCTTCCTCCCAATTTCTACAGCCAACATCTCACCGCATGCCTTGAGAACAAATGGGTACGTAAAATTGTCCACTTTCAGTCCAAAACTAAGTATTTCACGGTACAAAACCAGAGACTTGAAGCCTTGAACGGACATCCATTGCAGGCATATCCCCTAATCATGAAATTCCACAGGAACAAGTTTTTCAGAAAAATCCCATAAAAAATTTGCAGCGCTTGGGGCATTTTACCGCAGTACGTAGAAAGGGGCGGTGAACGTGACAGTGTGGAGGTTTTAGCCGTGAACGTGACAGTGTGGAGGTTTTAGCCGTGAACGTGACAGTGTGGAGGTTTTAGCCATTTGGTAAGAATTTGGTTTTAATGAGGGATCGGAAGATGGTAATTGTTAATTCTCCCTTTACTTCAAATGTTGCAGATCCATAAGAAAGAGGTGTTTAACTTCATTCGTTTGTATATTAGCAATTTTTATATATTTGTAGTTTGTAACCATGATTTCACTAAATCTCTCTGGCTTGAATTCTTTATTGTTTTATCCTTTCTATGTGAGATTCTATCTAATTATTTATAATCTTTGCATTCTTATTCATGTGCTTAGAACAACCATTTATTGATTATTATTTTTCTTTCAGTTCCAAGCATTTGATGAATTAAGGCCAAATCTCTCGATCTCCCTCTTTATCGTGCTTTCTTTCAATTTCTTGGTATGCAATATTTCTTTGCCTGGAATTTTTGATAATATTATTTACTATCATTATATTTTCTTCTTCTATATATATAAATCCAGAAGGCAAAAATTTTAAAATAACCATAATCCAAAAAAACTCTTATTTGATTCAGATTTAAAAAAAAAAAAAAAATTTCAATTTGTAGTCTTCTAGCAAAACAAAACTACCACGTAAAGGGATAAAAAGGTAAAAACATGGGAATAGAGTTTTTTTTTTTCTTTTGGTAGAATGGCTATAGAATTTTGAACGTAGGAGAAGACAAGATAAGAGCAGTGAGTTGTCTTTGGTGGAATGGCTATAGAGTATTTTTTGGACCTGATTTTACACTATCGCCCCGAGCAATCAAGGCTGTAGAGTGAGTAAAATTTTGAGCAGTTGGATTGGAAAAAGATTTGTCTAGATCATATTATTATAATTTTAATAATCATGATGTTATCTAAGGAATTATTGAAATTTATTTCTAAAAATGTAGAGATAATTAAAGAGTTCAAACGATTGAAATGCTATCGGATCAGAAGATCAAAGATAAGGCTCAACTGGTTGTGGGGACTTATTTTCAAAGTTTGATGTCAAATCACATGCATCTAGTATAGATAGCTTTTTGAAGTTTTTAATTGCAAGGGGACAATTCCAAACGTGCCATTTACAAGAGAATTATGCAATATGGGGGATTATATCCTAATGCATGTTTCTCGGGTTAGTTCTGTGCATGTGGTTCAAGTGCCGTGCAATAATGAAGCGTCAAAGGAGGTGTTTGGCTTTGATTACGTGTGGATGGAGGAAAACATGTGGTAAAGCCACATCACCAAAGATCAAATACAATCATTTGAAGATCAAGTCACGTCAAACTCATGGGAGTTTGAAATTGGACTCTACTCGAGGATCAGGCTGTGCCAAACAAGTACATCAGTCCTATAAATATAGATGCAATGGCAACGGAAAAAGCCCTCCAATTAAACACACAAACTGCCATGCGCAAATCCTCGCTCCACGCAAAACCTCTCAAACACCTTGAGATTTTTATTTTCTTTTTCGCCAACACATTTTTCAGTTTGGATAAATAGCACTGTGAAGGCAACCAGTGACACCTTCAGTTTGGATAAACAGCATTGTTGCTGTAGAATCAACCGTCCGCAGAGCACTTTTAATTTGGATAAATAGCATTGCGTCGAGGCTGACTGATTACCTATCCAAGTCTCGGTCGAGAAGGATTTTCGAATCCTTATTGGCAGAGGTCATCTCATTAGCCTTTTCGGCAAAATGAGGTGTTACAGATTACTGGGCTCGGCACATTGAACGCTGAGTTGTTTTATGATTGGATACTCACAAGTAAGTTTTAGAGTTCGACATTCTGACGGCCGAACCACATTCATTATCAAGACATACATCTCTTTTGAGTACTTGTGTCTGTATAGCTTGGTACCAGTTCGGCGTGCTTATATTATTACGAATATAATCACCGTGACCGAACCCGGTGTCAACAATCCGTGAACTTCGTAGAACTAGCAGCCTTGTCTTCAGGCTCCAGAACATGAAGGCCGAGACGTGTTCCTTCCTCAACCGCAGTTGCAAGATCAAGAAGTTAGTAGTGCGCTCAACGCAACATTAACAAATTTTACTCCTCGGCCGACGAGTTGGCACGCCCCGCATCAACCGAAGGACGTAGTTATCTTATTAATTACTCGGCCTGTGCGCCACGTAGGCTTGGTAGTTTTTAGGGTTAACAAGTATTTAGGGTTTCCATTTAAGTTCGTGATATGCTTTTCAATTATTGAATGATTTATTTCTCCCTCTCATTCTTCTTATAGGGAAATCTGTGTATATGGAACGATTATTGTTGAACTTGATGCCTGTTTCATTTGGAGAATAGTCATTCTGACTTTTCTCACTCTAATTCCTTTTTACTATTCATATTCCTTTTCCATTCTCATTACATGTACGTAAATGTGGATCGATTTTTAATCATCGAAATTCATATGTTTTGGCGGTTCTTAATCGCGGTGAGAAGATTGAGATGTTGGTGGATAAAACTAATAATCTTCGCTCCTAGGTTAGTCCATCGATTCAACTAATACCATAAACTCCATCGATTCAACTAATACTATAACTCCATCGATTCAACTAATACCATAAACTCACTTGAACTTACCTGGGTGTCCT